TTCCTCCTTGGCTTCCGAACCCTGGCCTACAGCATGGGCCTCCTGAGGACTTCCGCGGGGCTTCGGTGGAAGGTTGAACCCTTGCAGTTTGGCTTCCTTGCGGTCCTGTTCACCAAGATGATGCACGCCACGCGAAACAAACCCCGTGAGAACCAGCCGCTCGCCTGTCCACTTCTGAGTCTCATGCCGCAACTTTGGTGAGAACTGAACAACTTTGCCCTGAAGCGGATGAATCCGGCCTGTTGCCCACTCGCCACTGGGAAGTTGTCGTCGTTGTTCCCGATCATCCCGCGCCGAGGGACTCTGGGTCTCTTGGATCCAAAGACCCCCATGTTGAAAACTGCCTAGACCCATGCTATGGTTGTTGTAGTTAGGATCGTTGTTCACGTCCCGATGCATAGGGAGCAGATTGTTCAGACTCAGGGTGATCGACGATCTACAAAAGGGCCCTCCAGACCAGTTCTCCAAAAAGGCATTCAAGTACCTACACACGTTAGGAAATTGTCTGCTTTTGTGAGTGAGCCCATAGTGGTTTCCATGCGCAAAGACTCCAAAAGTCACATACACCGTACGATTGTCACCTAACATGCGGCGGTGTCGATTGAGGGGCTTCAGAGGGAGGCTCTTGATCAAGTCTTCACATGAGGATTGTTGAAAATCCCTGGTTTTCAGCAGCTCCTTCGCAAGGGCCTCGGTTTGAGCCACCTGTTCCTCACTCATGTAAGCTTGTAGTTCTTCCACTGAAACCTCCTCGATTCCTTCAACCCTCTTGCCTTCACCTGGCCTTTCACCCTGCCTTGGACCTCGAACGCCTGCCACTTCAAGCTCCGAAGCTCCTGCTCCCTGGGGTTCCTGAAATCTATCCCTCTTCGCCCCTTGGCATCCCTGCCTCGAGCCTGTACTTCCTCCAACCTCAAGCGCCGAAGTCTCTGATGCAAGGGAGCACCAGCCACACGTCACCTGGGCATCTGAGGTCTTCACCTCTGAACACACGCAACACATCCCTTCTCCAAAACCCTCTATCAGCTGGCTTCTTCCACGGAGTTCGTCTTGGAGCTGCGTTCTTGGGTCATCACCGCCGCAACTTGCTTACAGTATTCTATCGTGTGTCGGGGGCCTGGGGCAGCTTGCGAACCTCTTGCAGTACCATGAGTGTACCCCGAAGCGCACCTACACGGCATCTGAAGGACCTCAGCCAACCTAGACCTAGAACACGTAGTAGCTATCTTCCATCCATTCTTGATCAAGGAACCCCCTTCCTGAACCCTGAAATTGACCCTGCAGCCCTTGGTCACAGCCACTTTCAACTCACACTTCTGAAGCATGCGTTGAATGACAGGAAGTCTCCAGCCGTTGCAGTGCTCCGGCCACTGCCACGTGCAATGCACCCCTATCTGGCGACACAGATGCAACACCGCTATCGCTCCTAGGTACTGTTGCACGGCCTGTTTGCGCTTCTCCCGGAGTTGGTTCTGTTGTTCAGGGTCTTTTTGGTTCATTCTTTGCAGGGGGGAGAAGGCTTCACTATATAGGGGGGCTTGTCCACACATGTCTCGGCCTATCCATCCGAATCAAGTTCATCACCAACTCTAAACCCTCAGGCGTCCCTAAGTTCCCAGGTCCCTGCATCGCACAATGACTGGCAGCCGCAGTGCTGCCCGTTGCACTCTGGATTGTGGCAGCAAGCAGACTCTCTGAAGCTTCTGAAATCTCCAGCATGCAGAACCTTCCTATCTTCCGTAACCAAGCCCTCGAAGATGCGGGGCACGAGCCCGCAACTCATCTGCTCAATCTGCCGCGCCCTTCCTAGACTCAGTTGCCTACTCAGTCTCTCAGAGGCGCTCATAACCCTTCCCGGGTCCTCATCATCAGACTCGGTTACACCGAGCCCGCCATGGAGAAACTGTTCACGCTCTCGACATCCTCTGCCGTCACCTTCTTCCGTGGCCGCTCGCCCTTGAGGGTGGCTACCTCCTCCTTGAGCGTCTCGATGGTTTCCACCATGATCGCCAGCTTGGCCGCATCCACAGTCACCTTGTCCTCGATCTCGGGCTCCATGGATCCGGAACTGGACCCCGGCATCTGTGGCTTCTTCAGCATCTTCGGAGTAGCCCTTCGTGGCGTCGTGGGCTCGACAGGATATCCTGTCACCGTCGTCTTGTCCACCATCTTCGACAGCGTCATGAACTCCTCCTGTGCCCGCTTCACCAAGGTGACGTCGTTCGCCAGCCATCCGGCCAGGCGGCGCAATCGTGGATTGCACTGCCCTTCTCGTGCTGTCTGCGCTGCCCACTTGCAGTACTGATCGTGTTCCGCCCGCAAGGTGGCATCCGTCAGTTGACTGTGGCGGCCGAACCCCACCAAGTCCGAGGGATCCGGCGTTGCCAGACCGTACACCACCGTCAAGGCCTCCTTCTGCAGCTGCGCGATCGTCAAGTTGGGGTTCACCTCCATGTGCAACGTCTCCCGGCAGTACCTTTGAAGCTCCGCCTTTCGAGCCGCCGCCTTGTTCAGGGCCGTCACATACATCTGGTACTCCGACTTCTCGGCTTTCTTCGGCCGGGTGTAGTCGATCCCGGTCACTTCTTCCACGCGCTGCAACAGCTCGATCTTTGTCCACCTCCTTGGCGCTTCCTCCCCATGCTCGGCAAGTACTTCGCGAAGCTTGGGCACCGCGACATTGGACATGGCTGGGCACCGATGCTGTCGCGGGCGGCGCGAAGGTCACTCTTGATCTCGAGAACGGCTGCTGGCGCCCAAGATCACGTCGAGCTGGTAGGTGTGTAGCTTCACACACCGACGTGGCAAGAGGCACTGAGTCTTCAGAGATACACCCCTGATCACACTGACTCTGTCTACTCCATTCGGATTTGGGATCACATTTACTGATGGGAATGGCAGGCTCACTAGAACCCCCATTCTGAAACCCCTGTCCTGTTCCTACAGTCATCACCTCCCCTTTCCCGACAGGACACAAGTCGGAGAGGCGTTGTCCCTACTCTTCGGCAGGCACTGCTAAAAACTCGGGAAGCCCTGGCACTCTCTGTACAGCTGCTTGGGCCTTAGACAACAAATCTTCTGACAATGGAACGAGAAAGTGTCCGGTGGCCGATTGCTCGAGGGGCAGGATCTTTGTGTCGTCGATGTCACGCAGGACCACCATCTTGGCCTTGAAGTCTACTAAGGCTCCCAGCATAGAGAGCGACTCGATGCTGAGGAGGATCGGTCCGGTCCCCTTGTCCAGCGCGTGGATCTGCACCGCTCCTGGCCTGTGCCCTGCTGTCAGGCTCATCTTCACCGTAGCCGAGCATTGGTCCATGGACGAGTTGCCGAAGCTGAAGGTGGGCCTGTTGGAAGTGTCTACAGACACCACTCCCGGCTCGCCCCTTGCCTTGATATTCATCTCCATCAAGCGCTCCAAAGCATAGATGGATCCAATGCTTCTTGTAGCGCCACAGTCCATGATGGCCTTCCCTTGAGCCACTGCCGTCTGCGTCGAGATGCTGGCTATCAGGGCCTGCTCTGAAGCCTGTGCTTCTCCTTCGGTGTAGCCGATGATGTCCTGCGCCTCCGAGTAGCAGATGAAGGATGCCGTCTCCTCGGTGGTCATGTTGGCCGTCGGTGGGGGCAGTGGGCAGTTTGCTGCCCGATGCCCTTTCTTCTGGCGCCTGAGACAAACGATCTGAGAGTCGTCTCTTGGCTTGCCGCTCGAGGCGCTGCTGGATGGCCGATTTCCCACCTTGTAGTACTGCCTCGACATCTTCACTGCGTGTTGTGGAGCTCTCGTTTTTTTCAAGGTTCTCCGAGCTGCCCCCATTGTCGCCATCGCTTCCTGGATGTCCTGCTGGGCCTCGCTCCACATAGCAAAGCTCTCATCATCGAGCGACTCCTGGGCCTCCGCCTCGTCCATCACGTCGTAGGCGTCCTCGGTCGGGCTCTCGTCCTCGACGGAGCCCCAGTACACCTGTTGTCGTCGATTGCTGTCTCTCTTTTTCATGTCCCCGTCCGGAAACAATCTTCGAAGTGCGTGGCTGATGGCAGCCACCCCGTAGTTCTCCCCTACCGTGGTCATCACCAGGCCCTTCTCCTGGCTGTCCAGGTTTGCGTCTTGGGGTTGCAACCAGCCCTGGATGAAGTCGGGAAGTAGTTCCGGCAGCGTCTCCCCGGGCGTAGTGCTGGCTCCCCAGGAGCCTCGACCATCCCAGGAGGACCATTGGCTCCCGTAGGCACCCGACCACTCCCACCATGGATCTGAGTCCCACCATGAGCCTCTGTCCCACGACCACGTGGAGGTAGTCGGTGGTGCCGTGGAGCCATCATCCTGCTGCCCGTCCGCGGTGTCATCCTCCGGTGTGGAGTCCATAGAGCTTCTCCGGCTCCATTGACCAACATAGTTGCCCCAGCTTCCCGTCCGTCGGCCTACTGGGGTTGTTGTACTCTTCTGCTGTGGCAACACTCTTGCCATAGCCTGCTGCGCTCTCAAGTAGGTCTCGCTTCGCCTCGCCACGTAGTCATTCACACTCTCGCCTGGCTTGCGGCGACTGTACTTGAAGAGCTTGTTCAAGTGCTCCGTCACCTCTGAGATCTTTGGCCGGCCTAGCCCTTCTCTCAAACAGTTCAACAACCGCTCCACGCCTCCATGGAACGACAGCCAATCCGGCGGCTGTCCCGTGATGGCAGAGCCAGTCAGTTCCGCCGCTATGCGCGGCGCCACTTGTGGTCTCTTGTGAGGTGCCCTGTCCGTACAACCGGGCCGATTCCACGAACTCTGAGAACGTTCCGGGATCTCCGTCCCAGCATGGGACCCCATCTCTGGTCCGACCAGAAACAGTCGTACCACTCGTCATCTTTGACCGGCCGCGCGGGTCAAAGCTTTCCCCTGGATCGTCACCACTCAAGCCTTGCTCACAGGCTCAACGCTACCATGCAAGTGGTAATGCCCGATGCTGCTCAAATACACTTCGAAGAAGGGTCGTTGTGGAGCGAGGGGTCGTAGAGCCATGGCGTCGCAACAGCTACGGACTTTTACCCCGGGCGCTCCCCAAGTGCCTCGATCTGTAGAAACTTCGGAGGACCAGCAGGCGTCTGACGAAGCCAAGCCTTTCAAGCTTGCAAACCCTAAACCCTAGACTGTAAACTCTAAACCCAGGTGACGTCTTTGGCATCGCATGGTGATCTCTTCTTGTGGAGCTCCCGACTACAGCTGGAGCCCGGCCCGACGAGAGAGGCCTGGCCCTGAGCTTGCAAGTCTATTTTTTGAGGTTTAGGGTTTAGGGTTTAGGGTTTAGGGTTTAGGGTTTAGGGAATTTTTGTAATGGGTTGTATTTGTATATATATATATACACACATATTTAGACAGTAGAATGTAATGAAATATGATGTATGTATGTACGTAGGTATGTATGTATGTAGGTATGTATGCTTTTAAACAGGGGCTCTAAGGAATGTAGAGTGCTTTCGGACATCTTCGGTCGAAATCGCAGAGTTGTAAATCCGCAGCCAAGTCCGAGATGCCTCACCCCACCACCCCAAACAATCTTCAACACACCGAAAGCTCTGGGGAATGTGAGCTCTGCTCCTCAGGCGACTGTCCAGCCGCTGGCAGTGCAGATGCTGAAGGCCGTGCAGGAACTCCATGATTTGCGCCTGGGCTTTCGAGACTTGTGCTTTGGGGAGCTCCGGGGGTTCCGGGTGAGGCACTGCTGCTTCGGCGGTTTCCTTAAGGAGGAGCAGTCTGAGGCCTGCCAAGAAAGCTTCAGAGGCCAAGGGCCCGTACACAAGAAGCCTTTTCGAACAAAGTTTACAACCCTTTGCACCCTCAACGCGTCTGCAGGCTACTGGGCCCTGAACTGCTGTGGTTGCTGAAAGGGAAGAATCCGTCTCAGCTTGAAGAGCAGCCTGAAACGAGCTGAATCCCGACTAAACAGAGAACCGCAACCCTTAAGACCCTCAAACCCTTAGGGGTACCATGCAGAACCCCAAAACGGTACCCCAACCCTAAGCCCTGAACCTCGCAGGTTCTCAGTTTCACGGGGATGCACGGGCGTGACGTCCTAGTTGTCCTTTTGCGGGAAACCCGAAGTTTAGGGGTTCAGGGATTAAGGGTTTTTTTGAACATCAGCTACAATTGATGGCATAAATCCTGCATTGCCTTAAGCGCCCTAAACTATGGGAGTTCTGGTATATTCCTCCTTATTATGGATAATGCAGGATTTATATCATCACGTAGGGTCAAGCCAAAAAGAAAGAAAGACCCCCAGTCCAAAATCCTAGACTAGGCCCGAGAGCACTCGGAGCCCACAAAATTCATGAGGTGTATATGTTTTTGAGCTCTGTAGGAAACCTTAAAGGAGCCGTTGAAGGAGACCTCATGCGAGCCCTCAACCCTCAACCCTCAACCCTAAACCCTAAACCCTAAACCCTAAACCCTAGACCCTAGACCCTAAACCCTAAACCCTAAACCCTAAACCCTAAACCCTTTTCTGAGGTCAATAGCACACCGAGATCTGTCCTGTGAAAACATCCTCGTGACTCAGGCGCTTGAGGGTTGGGGGCCGGGGTTTGGAGGGGTCATGTACTTGGAGGTTCATGGGTAGTTATAAGTGGGGTTATAAGTCCCCTAATATGGGTTATAATTATAGTTACCATACTGACAACCCAACTTATAACTACCCATGAACCTCCAAGTAGATGCTTGAAGATTTTGCAATACTTCCTCAGGGCCTTCGGGTGTCTTTATTGACAAGTATAGCAGGAAATGCTCCAAAACTCTATTTAAAGTGTTATGGACGTTTTGAGGGATCTGATACTTAGTGGCAGCATGCAGCACCCTCACTGCTATAGTAGAGAGCCGCTCGGTTGCAAATCCTTAAACCCCCAAACGCCTGAACCCCTGAACCCGAAACAGGCTCATGGCCAATACTATGCAAGACCCAGAGCCGCGAGGAAATCCTATTCCTTACTGTAGGGTTCCTAAACATCGCTGGTGTATAGTATATCCCCTATAGATGCTTGAAGATTTTGCAATACTTCCTCAGGGCCTTCGGGTGTCTTTATTGACAAGTATAGCAGGAAATGCTCCAAAACTCTATTTTAAGTGTTATGGTCCGAATACCAGTAGCGTGTTGTGATGCGATGTCACATCCGTATAGACGTTTTGAGGGATCTGATACTTAGTGGCAGCATGCAGCACCCTCACTGCTATAGTAGAGAGCCGCTCGGTTGCAAATCCTTAAACCCCCAAACCCCTAAACCCCTGAACCCGAAACAGGCTCATGGCCAATACTATGCAAGACCCAGAGCCGCGAGGAAATCCTATTCCTTACTGTAGGGTTCCTAAACATCACTGGTGTATAGTATACCGTATACCCCCTACTTGGAGGTTCATGGGTAGTTATAGGTGGGGTTATAAGTCCCCTAATATGGGTTATAATTATAGTTACCCTACTTACACCCCAACTTATAGCTACCCATGAACCTCCAAGTACACCCTAAACCCTGAACCCTTCAGCTCTGTTCCAATTTGTTCGCTATGGCAGCTGGGAGCTGGAATCCTCATACCTGAAATCCAACCTCCAACTAATGTAGGAGCCTTTTTAATTAGAAAAGGGGTTTTGGGGTATATTATACTATAAAAAAGATAAGGAATCCACAAAACCCAATTCTAATTATTAAGGCCCCTACATGAACAGAGCACTAGTGTCGGGATGTTCGAGTGCTATGCAGGGCACAACCAATTTGTTTTTGGGTTTAGGTGTAGACCACTGATTCATGGGCCAGTTGCAAGGGCCCCAGAAGCAGGATCCCAGCTTCAAGCTCTGTACTAAGGGAGGCAGGGGGAGGGTTGTTAATCAGGGGTTTGACATGAGCCCCAAAACAGCCAAATCCCTAAACGATAAGCATTCCAAGCAGTCTTCGCAGATATAGGTTCAGGATTTGGGTGTTGGGACTTCTTTCCATAATTGCCAAGCTTGTGCCCTATCCCGTCGCGTGAGTGACGAATGTATTCCAGTTTGCATTTCACAGATGGATGAGGTGAACATGTTGTCCCCTAAACCCAAAATCGTGGCTCTGCCCTGCGCAGGTAGACGATACTCTGGAAGTCCGTGTTATAGATTTCGCTGCAGCGTGTGGATCACGCCCCGCGTCCTGTTTCAGAGCCGGGCTGCGGAAATCTGAAGCTTCTCCGTATCCTTGTTGAGGTTCATGTTTTAAACGAGGGCTCGCTTGTTTCTTGTTTCAGGGTTTCGGGGCTCAGGGCTTGGCGGGTTGGGGCATTTGCAGCAAGATTTCGGCAGACGCCTGGGAGCCTGCTGCTGTGCATGGCTCTCTCTGGACCCCATTCTCGATTCTCCCACGGCCCCTAAACCCCTCAACTTCCTAAACCCTGAAACCCTGAAACCCCTATACCCTGAAACCCTGAAACCCCTAAACCCTAAACCCTAAACCCTGAAACCCCTGAAACCCCTAAAGCCATAAAGCCCTGAACCGAGGATTTTCCAGCGGCGCGCATGGGAAAGACATGTACGTCGCTCCGGAGGTCCACCTCGGCGGCAAGTTTGATACTTTCCTATCGGCTCCTGGGCTTTCAATTATAGGGTTTAGGATTTAGGGTTTAGGGTTTAGGGTTTTGGGCTTTCAATTATTATGTGTTTTATGCTGTGCAAGATATGATTAAGCAAGTAGCATTTTGCCATAACTATGTATATAGGAGTGTAGCGCATATATACTATGTACAAGAAGTGTGAAGTACAGATGACATGTACTCTTTCTACTGCAACATGTATGCCTTGGAGTCAGAGGCCGAAAGGGGCTAAACCCTAAACCCTAAACCCTAAACCCTAAACCCTAAACCCTAAACCCTAAACCCTAAACCCTCACTCTTCGAGGCTTTGGGCCCAAAGAAGCGGGCTTTTTCAGAGTTCCTAGTGTGTTACTACCGGACTGATAGGGTTGCGCAATGGCATGTGCCGGAAGTAGTCAGGATGGCTTATAGGTTTAGGGTTGAGGGTTTAGGGTTTAGGGCTTATAAATCACAGTTAAGGCACTTCGAACTTTACAACGTACTAGGTCCCCTAAACCAAACAAAAGAAGCATTTGTAGACTTAGAACCCCTGTAGAAACCCTACAAACAACCTCTCGAAGGCCTTACTTACAGAGTCCCCCGATCCTCCAAGTGCATGTGGGGGTTTCCGAAAATTGGGGTACCTTATTTTGGGGACCTTAATTCTAAGGATCCTATTACTTAGGGTACTGTATTGGGGTCAATAATAGGTTCCTTATTTTAAGGACCCCAAAATAAGGTACCCCTAATTATCGGAAACTCCCATGTCATTGTCCGAGGACGCCTTTGCTCTCGGTGCCTTGGACCATCTGAGTGCAACAGGAGGGGTTTAGGGTTTAGGGTTTAGGGTTTAGGGGTCGGAGTACCTACAAAGAGTATGCCCTAGACCCTAGACGTGTATGACGATAGTACTATCTACCCCAACGCCCCCATCCGAAGCATTGAGGTTGTCGGGTTTAGGATCTCTAAACCCTAAACCCCCAAAAACCTTGAACCCTAAACCCTGAAGCCCTATACCCTAAACCCCAAGTACCTGAAACCCCAAACCCCGAAGCTTCACACAGTAAGCCCCGTATTGGAAGCTTAGGGAGTGTAGGATTCGGGCTTTCTGGGTCGATTTGTTCGATTTGGCTTTGACCCTAAACCCTAGGATACCGACACGAGGAAAAGAGGTGTTGAATAAAACCCTCAACCCAAAACCCTAAACCCTGGCCCTAAATCGAGTTCGGGGTTAAGATGGAAGCTTCAGCAACTTTCGGCCTGAACAAACCCGGGCGCTTCCTAGACTTTGGGTCCGGATGAGGGCCAACTCTACGACTCTTGAACGCCCTATGTGCATTGTGATTTTGCATGGTAGTGCATGGTACTGTGCTCAAGAATTGGTGGTGGTGGTTCGGGCTTCGGGATTTCGGATTTCGATCTGGGGATGGGCAAGGTGACCCTACCCAAGAGTCAAGCGCTTTGAGCCCTCAGCTCTGTGGTAAGGCCCTGTACAATTCTGCACACTGCGAGTACCTTGTTGTAAGCGGCAGAGCATAAGCACGCCGTTTTCAAGTTGGCGGAAGATCGAACACCAGAGAATACCGCTCCATGTTGCCAAGATTTCATTAATGCAAGATGTTGCATTGGATGGCACAATGCTGCTACACTTCTTTCAGTGTGACTGCACCGGGACTGGACCAGGGGTCATGTATGACAGAGTACAGTACTCTACTCCAGCGCACCACCACCACCACCAACCCGAAATCACGGAAGCCCGAACCCTACTCCCTAAGCCGAACAAAGAGGGCCCCTGCAAGGAGACGTTAAAAGTTTAAAACGTTCTCCAAGGTGTGATCTTCCTATCTGTTCTCTTGCAGAGGTGCGGAAGGGTCCTTAGACGATGCCTAAGCAATGCGTTACATGATTCCCTCGTATTGGTATCGTTGTCAGTAGAGCCTGTTCCCAAAATCCTACAGTATGTGATTGCCCTTGGAGGATACATCCTTGATCATACAGAGCTTGTGCAGATTGCTGCTTTTTGCTTTCCGGATTTTTCAGCGAACGCTTCTCGTTTGAAGGGTTGGGGTTCAGGGTGAGGCGGCATTTCCCAAGCCGGATGCGTCAGTGTCCGCAACCATTTTTGAAGTGTTGCCTCGCTGGACATGAGCGCAGCAGCTGGACATGAGCGCAGCAAACTGAAGTGTGCAATGCCCAGGGCCGACCAACACCATTCCCCAGAAGAGAGCACATGTCTGTTTCTATTCAATCGCCACGTTCTTCAAGCCAAACTTGAAACCCTAAACCCTAAACCTTTCAACCCTAAATCCTAAACCCTAAACCCTAAACCTAAACCGAGTGGCGCCGCCCTCCTTTTCATTGCCAGGTATCCCTGGAACTCCACCAAGCCGGGATGCTGCAAGTCGTTTGAATCCAGGCCTGCACAAAGAACCCAAAGCCTAAAAGCCCTAAGCCCTACCTGTAGCCGAAAAGACCTACCTTTTAGGATTCCTTGTTTTGGTTTCTATATATAGTTCCTTAAAGAGGTAGGTCTTTCCAGCTACAGGTAAACCCTAAAGCCTGCCCTAAACCCGAAATCCTGAACCCTCAAAGCCGTAAACACCCTAAACCCTGAGAGCGCTAAACCCTAAACCGAAAAAGCTCTAAACCCTCAACCCTGAAAGCCCTACGCCCTAAACCCTGAGAGCCCAAACGCCAAAAACTGGACCTTGCCTAGCACCTGAAGCCCTGACGAAGCCATGGTTTGGGGAGATTTCCCTGCGACTGTTGTGGCTACCTTAATTGGGGGCTTTTGGTTTAGGGTTTAGGGTTATAGGTTTAGGGTTTAGGGTTTAGGGTTTAGGGTTATAGGTTTAGGGCTTTGGGTTTGGGGTTATAAGTTGTAAGTACTTCTAACTCTTGTGACGCTAGTTGCCTTTTACACATGTCCCCAGTAACTAAGTCCCATGATCCCGTGAGTGCAGCCCAGGAATATGTGCGGAAGCATGGGCTGCGAAAGTGCTTCGGTCAGCATGTGAGCTTCATAGGCAATTCCCAACTTCTCGATGATGGTTGTTCGGGATTGTGATTTCGGGAACCCTTGATGAGTGATTCCTAGGGATCCCTTTGTGGACTTTTCCCTCCTACCATCCGTGCCCCAAAAGAGCCAATATAGGGGCCTGAATGATTGTGATGTACTAGCTTTTTGGTTTATCTCCAGGCGCTACGATAGGAGGACCACACTCCCCCGGCCCCAAAGTATCAGGTGCACGCAGGGCCTGGACAAATGAGTTAAGTTGGCGAAGATGGAAAAGCCTTAAGCCCTAAACCCTCAGCCTGTCTCCATATTAACTGTGCTATCTTTAGCAGTCAACTACCAGTCCGTCTTAGCTTTCGTGCACCGGCTGTTTCGAACTTACTATTGATCCTTGACTGCTGTTGCCGTCGCCAGCTTCCGGTTGTCATATCGATTGCCGTATGGATGTGAGGATGACCCCAAGCATCTTCCAAGCCCCAAGCGCTACGCCCAATGATCAGAAATCCGGTAAACAGGGAAATGACTCCTGAACCTGGTACCTGGGCGCAGGGTCCAGAGTCAAACCCTGAACCCCAAACCCCACACCCAAACCCGAAGCCCCCAGAATCCCTAAACCCTAAACCCAAACCTCTGAACCCTAAACCCTAAACCCTAAACTCTGAACCTTAAGTTCCTGAGTTACCGTTAAGTCAAGACTAACGGACTAACGCTTTAATACAGTAAGATCAAGAAAGGCAACGTTCATAGTCAATACTGTCGACCAAAGCGGAATAAAGATGAACCTAAATAGATGAGAATGAAATGTAGACTGTAGACTGATGAATAGAAGGAGTGTCATCACGAATAATATGTAAGTAGAGGACTACTAAAGGCAAGTAGCTGCTGTCAGGTGGACAGCTCGAACTTGACGATCAAGACTCAAGAATCCGCACATGCCTTGACCACTAGCTTCCATTCGGCCCTTTTTCTCCTGCCCGGGAGTCAGGGATTTGCCTTTGATGTCTGCCTTCCTTGTAGCTTCTGTTGGCCTTATATTCAATCTCAAGCTGTCTTCGGGCAAAGAGGGTTCCAGGACCAATGTATCAATAGAGGATTTCGGCTAAGATTTCCAGACCAATGATACGGCTAGTGGCAATCGCCGCTGTGAATGAGCAGTGTTAGAAATGATAGGTGATTCGAGGCATCTCTGGGAGATTACCCACGCCCAACACCCAAACTCATCTACGAAAGCCGGACACCCTAACCCCAAACCGGAAGCTCTAACCCAATCCTTACACCCTAAACCGGAGCCCCCCTAAACCCTAAACCCTAAACCCCCCAAACCCTAAACCAGAGCCCTGAGGTACTTGATGCGCCGGAAGCTCTCAGGAGCAAGCCTGACCTTCGCAGATGCGATATCCGAGACCTGGCAGGGCCGATGCGGAGTTCAAGGCTTTGGGTTTTTTAAAAACGGAGCGACTTGCAGATGTAGACATACATGTGCGCGTATACGTGTATATATATATATACATACATACCTTCCTACATACATACATACATACTTATATTATCTTATATTTATCTAGTTGTTTTTTACACCTATGCCTGGACACAGATATTGTTTATGTGTGTATATATATACACACACTCATACGGATCAGACATGTACATACGGGTGTGTATAAATATATATCCCAGTACACAGAGAAGTAGAGACTTAACTAGCTAACTCGCGAGCTAGTTAACCAACCAAATAACCAACTAACCAGCTAACCCAATTACCCAACTACCCAACTAACTAACCAACTAACCCACTAACCGGCTAGCCAACTTACCAACCAACGAGCTAACGAGCAAACCAACTAACCAACTAACCAAGTAAACACAACCACATAGCTACCTAGCAAACTTGCCACTAGCTAACCAAATACATACATGAGTACATCGAGAAGCTAATGAACAACTTTGCCAATAAAAGCATACATACATGCAGACATACATACATGTTCACATGCATACATGCATGCATGCATGCATGCATGCATACATGCATACATGCATACATGCATACATGCATACATGCATACATGCATACATGCATACATGCATGCATGCTTACATGCATACATGCATGCATGCATACATACATACATCTACACATTCATGTACATACATGGTGTGCATACGGAGAAACTTCGCAAGCTAGTGCTGGTTCGTAACAGTTTCGCATTGGTTCCTATGTGGGGCGGGTGGGGCCAAGAAGTCATCGCTTCGCAGAGCAGGTATTTTAGGGGCCCATGGGCACCTGCGGGAAGGCCTTAAGTTGTAGAGCTTAAGTTTGTTCAATTTGTTAAAGCCTAAGCCCGAATCCCGATATCTTAACCCGTAAACCCTAACTAAACTCCATATCTTAACCCCTAAACCCTAACTAAACCCCATATCTTAACCCCTAAACCCTAACTAAACCCTATATCTTAACCCCTAAATTAAATCCTAAAACCCTTGGTTTGTGGCCTCTTGCAGCGCATCTCAGGATTCCTGCCTGCACTTGCTCGAAGGCCGAACCGGGCAAGGGGGTAGTAGTCTTATGGCTTTAGGGTTTAGGGTTTAGGGTTTAGGGTCTAGGGTACAATCAAACATACCATAATACAGACTTATAGCATAGTTCCTAAGAGAAACGGATCATAATATACCACAAAACCTCATTCCTGAAGGAGTCCTACTAATATACCACAAAAGCCGATTCTAATCACCTCAGGCCTGTTGAGTGTTGTTGTTTTGGGGGGTTCGAGATGCATGCTTGGTGTAGCTTTGGCTGTAGCCTTGCGGCCTGGCGCAGGAAGCGTAGGCGCCCAGTGCTTCTACTGGTGGCTCCCGGTAGCTCCAAGACAGGCCGCTGGTCATCACGGGCCTGCCCCCACCCCGGGCAGCCCGTCAACGTGCGTGATGTACCTGTGACCCACAACAACACCTCACCGGCCGATCAACCACGGTGCGGTTTGCTTCAGATGCCCTGGTCTCGGCCAGGTCTGCTGGAAGTCGATCCGGGCGAACGCTTGACTCTGGGTGAGAACGCCTGGTCGTTAAGTGGCCGCGAGCCTGAAGAGATCAGTGGCTGCTGTAGTAACATCATGTCACAAGGGCATTACCGCCCTCACGGCCACTGACCACCCCCACCGGACCACCCGACCACTCGAACACTCGCCCACCCGACCACACGACCACCCACCACCACCCAGCACCAGCACCAGCACCGGCACCAGCACCGGCAGCAGCATAAGCACCAGCACCAGCACCAGCACCATCGTCATCGTCATCATCATCATCATCATCATCATCACCATCATCATCATCATCATCATTGTCATCGTCATGGTCATCATCATCACCATCATTATGACCATCACCATCGTCATCGTCGTTATCATCATCATCGTCCTCGTCGCCATCATCATCATCATCATCATCATCATCATAATCACCATCATCATAATCATCATCATCCTCATCGTCACCGTCGTCACCATCGTCACCGTCATCGTCATCGTCATCGTCGTCGTCATCATCATCGTCATCATCATCATCATCATCATCATCGTCATCATCGTCATCGTCATCGCCATGGTCATCATCATCATCCTCATCGTAATCATCGTCATCGTCATCATCATCATCATCATCATCATCCTCATCGTCATCATCGGCATCATCATCCTAATCATCATTTTCATCATCATCATCATTCTAATCATCATCATCATCATCATCATCATCATCGTCATCGTCATCGTCATCATCATCATCATCGTCCTTGTCATCACCATCAGCTTCACCATTACAGCTTTCGTGACCACAGGTTTTCCGTCATCACCGGCACTTCCCGGCAAAACTCTCCTTTCAGGCTATTGCTCTTAATGTGAGTGAGTCTTATCGGTAGCGTTGCGCCGAGGCGATCGGGTCTCCGTGTGGAGTGAGGATTGGGTGCTATCAGCACCAGCTTGGGGACGCGAGATTAGCGATTTCTGACAACGAAAGGTCGTTTAGAGTCGGTTTTTCTTGTGGTCATCCTGGGGGATGGTTCCGGGCAGACTCCGGTCCAAAAGGCCCGCCGCGGGCAGCAGCCGGAGGTCCCCAGCACCCTTCGAAAGACCCAGGAAATCCCAGGAAAGCACAGCGCCGAGCAGGCAACTCTCACAGGGTCATGCACAGAGCCCTTTCCAGTTGGGTGAGGTGCCGAATTCCAACTGTCGGGTGCCGAACCCCAGACATCAGTCAAGATTGTAGCCGTTCCCTCCAACAATACGCTCGAATTTGCTATCAGGCCCAACTGATCCCAAGCTTGTGCTAGTTTTTTATTGTGACACCTGCGAGAGTGAGAGTTCAATTCAGATTCATCCTGCCAGAGTTGGGAGATGAGGGGCGAGCTGAAGGTGGCTGAGTGTCATCGCTTGCCCTCCGAATGGTTGAAATGAGCTTGTATGGCTTCCGTATTTGGGCATGTAAGCCTAAAACCCCTGCGTGCCCGATTCTGGCCGACGACCAAGTCAAGGTCAGATTAGACAGCCTCGGCACATGCGGGAGAAAGGCAGGAGGCAGGAGGCTGTGCAGAAATAGGAACAATAGTAGAACAGTATCAATAGCGGCAAAAGAAGCTGTAATAATAGCAATAATAGTAATAATGATAAATTCATAGTCAAATATGATAAGTTCATAGTCAAATCAGAGCAAATCATAGAACAAAAGGTGTAAACACAGTAGTAGTGATAGCAATAGCGATAATAATGGTAACAATAATAACAGCAACAAGAGTCACAATAGGCACAATAATAACAATAATAACAACTGTAACAGCTGTAGCAACTGAAAGACAAGCAACAACAGTGACAACAGTAGCAATAGTAGCAGTAGTCATGCAATGGTAGCAATAGGAACAAGAGTAACACTTGTAGGAATAGTAACAGTAGAGACATCAGAAGCAGTAGAAGAAGAGTAGAAGTAGAAGTAGAAGAAAAAGAAGAAGAAGTAGTAGTAGTAGTAGCAGTATTAGTCATACAAATCATAGTTTTATTAGCAACAACAGTAGTAGTAGTAGTAGTAGTAGTAGTAGTAGTAGTAGTAGTAGTAGTGATCATTGTAGTCATAGCAATGATAGCAATGATAGCAACAATATTAACAGAGTAGTCATGGCAATCTAGAAATAGGTAATGTTTAGGACTAGTAGTATGACTATCTGCTTACTGTGCTGTTGTGACTGTTATGGGCTCAGCTAGCTCTGGTCCTCAGCCGCAAATGTGGGCCTGAAGCCTAAACCCTAGACCCTAGAGCCTTAAGGCTTAGGGCCAAGCGTTCAGGGTCCAGCGGGCCTTATCCCAAACCTCAATCCTTGGCATGTAAACCTCTTGGGCCTCCTCCTGCAGATCTTGTTCCCCACGTGCCCTTGGAATTTTTGAATCCTCGCACCATGAAAAGAGGGAGACAGGCCGCCATCGACGCCCATCGACGCCGGGGAGGGCGTGACCTGGAAATCAAAAGGGTTTAGGGTTTAGGGTTTAGGGGGAAGAATCCTCAAAGCCTCAAAGACACTGGCATTTGAACACTGGACCCCAAGACCTTGCTCTATCCTAAAAACCACGGCCCTTGTGTTGAGGGTATGCCACTAGTGTGAACACTTTTAGCGACAGCACGAGGCAAGCCATGGCGGCATTTCCAACACACCGTCACTTTTTAAATGGGCCGTGCCCGTGAAGACGCATTCGTGTGGAAATGTAGGACGGGTTTCCCGAGCACCGGCAGGACTTGACGTCAGAAACTTGATTTCAAAACCCTAGACCCAAAACGGTCTAGATTTGATGTCCCCGGAAACCTCAAGTAGGTGTCTGTTCGACGGCATACAGTCGCATGCCTGTCTTTCAGGAAGAGGCTTCGGGGTTGGTGGACAGTGTGAAAAGCCTGGTGCCCCTGATCAACACAGCTTTCAGCATCCCAGGGAAACTCAAAACCCAGCCCTGAACTGAACCCTGAACCCTAAACCCCTAAACCCGTGAATCCTAAGCCGCGGTTTTGGTTATGGCTGCCTCCAAACCAGCCATAACAGCGGCCTAATGTTGGGGCCTAGATAATTACCAATACGATTTTGGGGGCTCAATACAAGTATAGTGTAGTATAGCCCCAAAACCACGTTCTAGTGATTAAGATATTAGTCTACGAGCCGCGCATTGGGATCCTCTTTGAAGCACACAGATTGCTGTGATTACGATTCTTTAGTCCTTTGGTTCGCATCATGATGGGCTTAGGGTTCAGGATTAGGATATAGGGTTTAGGGGTAGTTTTCTTGTCATTGTTGCTGCTACGGTTCATTAACAAGCCTGGTTCTAGCTTGGCACTGACACAGAGTCGGGGGGAACCCGTTCAAGGGCGTGGCCGTGGGCACAGTTCCACGATTTTGTCGGAGTCTTCGGAAGTCAATGAGGCGAACACTTCCTTAAACCCTAAACCCTAAACCCTAAACCCTAAACCCTGAACCCTAAACCCTAAACCCTAAACCCTAAACCCTCAACATCCCTAGGCCTTGAGCCCTAACCGTAACATCCCTCAACCCTAGGCACCACACTCGACCTTCTAAGCCGATACGTGCCAAGGCCATGACTCAGAGACTTTCGAAACCTCCATTTCAGCACCAAAAATCGTTCCTGAGCGGCTCGATCTGTACAGCCAGAGCTTTGAGTCCGGTCGGGTGAAGGAGTCAGGTTGGCCCACCCCTGTCCTTCCGCATAGGGTTTAGGGTTTAGGGTTTAGGGTTTAGGGTTGGAGGGTTTAGGTTTCCGCACAGCACTTCTTCTTGAGGGACAGCGAGCTATCTTAAAAGAGACTCTGGACCCCCCCAAAACGCGCAGGGGGAGACCCCGGGCCCCAAAGCATTTCACTGCGTATAACCCGAAATCCGAAACCCTAAACCCGAAACCCTAAGCGTATGAGCACCTCAAGCTGTGGCTCTTTGAAGAGCTTCAGAGTCGGCCCCCTTAAACCCTCAACGGAGGTCGAAAAAGAAACAAAACCCTAGACCCTAAAAGAAACAAAACCTTAGACCCTAAACTAGGGTTTAGGGTTTAGGGTTTAGGGTTTAGGGTTTAGGCCCTAAGCCCTCAAAACCCCTAAACCCGAAAACCTAGAATATCTGGACCTACGCAGCCTGGGCTTTCCAGGGTTTTCATAGGGTCCAGGGTTCAAAGGTTGAGTTTTTGGGGGGTTGTGTGATCTACGGTTGAGGGTACTATAGGGGCCTGAATAATTACCTATACTATTTTTCGGGGTTCCGTATTATAAGTATAGTATAATACCCCCCAGAACCCTAATTATTAAGGCCTCAACATTATAGGTTTTGGGTTTGAGGGCTCTCGACCCTTAAGCTTTAAGCCGCGCCCCAAGATTTAAGGGGTTAGGTTTTGTGGTTTAGGGTTTACGTGGCCATTCAGGGGTTTGCGGGTTTGGGGGCATAGCGGCGTAGCATGTATGATTTGGGATGTAGTGCTCAGGGAACAAATCCTAGTGGTTGAAAGCTTGCTTCCATGGACGATCGCGAGCTGGGCCGGGAAGAGTGAACCTGACACCAATTCGAAAGCTGCAGCACAATTGCTGCACAGCAGATCACCTCTACGCAACTTCTGGGATCCGAGATCCCAAGAGAAGATCCTTAACCAGACTGTCTCATACCATTGTGGAGGGGTCTCGGAGCGTTTGAATTCTGCTTGTGAATTCCTCGTTGTTTCGAGTTGTGGCTGCAGGTGCCTAGACTGGTCGCGCTTGAGCAGCCAAGAGTGTACCTTCGGGCCTTGACTGACGAAGTCTTGAGTCGGCTATCGGAATCAAACACGGCCTTCACAGATAGAATGTGGTTTGCAGGTTGCTACAGTTTAATTACGAAATAAGCCCTGCAGAATATCTGACTTCTATATTACGGCATCACTGCAAGAATCGTGGCAGCGGCGGCCTCAAGTAGGCGGCAAGCATGGAGAGATGGAGTTTGTAGAATGATCACCGTTAGTAGCGACTGGTTGCTGATCACCACTCGTATCATGTCCTTTCGCATTGCCTCATAATATGCTGTTCCTCCTATTCCTACAGTACAGCTGCTGCTACAACAACGACTACTACTACTACTACTACTGCTACTACTACTACTGCAACTACACTAACAGCAGCAACAACGGCTCTGCTGCTACAACTGGTACTGCTGGCAATGCTCGTACTACTGCTACTACTGCTACTGCTGCTGCTCTTCTACTGCTACTGCTACTGCTCATGCTCCGGCTCCGTCCAGCTCTTCCTCCTACTATTGCTGCTGCTACTACTACTACTACCACCACCACCACCACCACCACCACTACCACTACCACTACCACTGCCACTCCCACTACCACTACCAGTACCAGTACCACCACTACTACTGCCACTCTCCGGCCACTCATCCTCATCCTCCAGAAGCAAGAACGATATAAGAGTGATGATAATTCCGGAGGTGCTGCAATGCGACATCATACAAACAAATCAGGCTCGTATTGCAGAAACATTCCACCGAAACATCACGGAAATCATCGCAGGAAGAACAAATTCGTGTTCCGAACCTCCACATACTGTGACATACTGAGACCAGAGCTAACTGCGCGATCTCTATGACCTGCTCACCTGCCCAAGCATGTCGTGCCAGACTGGTTGCCAGTCACATGCCGCGCAAGACGGGCTGCCAGTCGGAGCACAACTCTCCCCAGCTCGCCATTTAGATGCTGCAAAGCTGCAGAACTGGCATTGCGTCAGCATCGGACACCTGAAAACGCCGAATTTCAGCTGCCGCGGATCTTTTCATGACCAGGTGGCATGAACTCTGCTGGTGTATACTCTAGACTTGAGCAAGCATCCTCAGGACAGTGCACCTGCAGTGGAAAGAAACTGCACTTCGCGTTTGCGCAAAGAACAAGCTCGAGTTGTGACTTTCGGTCGTAGTCATGAAGAGCTTTCACCAGGTTGGATTG